TACTACAATCAGTGACAAAGTTAATGAACTCTACAGGTCCTAACATTAACCATCAGCAATTATTTGACTTAATTAAGAAAGATTTTATTTTTATAGACACGTTAAGATGATTTTTAAGGAAACAGGTACTATTTTTATTTCTTGTTTCCTTTTTCTTAAAATTTCAGGCATGAAACTTTAATAAAACCTAGCCAAGTGCCAGGCAAATAACATCAACGGCAAAGCAACTGAAGAGTTCAGAACTCAATTAAAAGGGGCAACTACTACTCAGCTTTAGTAATCACTGTCAAGCAGGAACATCCATCAGGTATAGCCAAATACTGTGATTTTTCAAGAGATGCTGGAAATCCAGAATTCTTAAATATGATAAACTCCCTATTTTTAAATGGTGACAAGTAATTACTAAATGTTCCAAATACAGTAAGCGAAATATATCTGTGGGTTGGATTCAGCCCAAAGGCTGCCTGCTACTGCAGGCTCACTGTTAAAAATCTCTCTATATAATTGAAGATGGACTAGGGGAACAACGCCCCTTTACCATCATTCCTCATCCCTAGGGAAGAGAGAAAGAAATGGAGAACCATGGAAAGCAGCTCCATAAAATTACAGGGTGCAGCAGTGACAAACTCCTCAATTTAACCTTTTCTCTTTCTTGAAATAGAAATTTCTTAGCAGTTTTAGATACAGAATGTTCTCATAGCAGAATATAGGGAGAAATTTAAAATTTTTTTTGTCAAAATCCAGGAAAAGGAAAATATTCAAGTAAATATAATACAGTAGCTAAAACTGCACAAACTTCTCTGGTCTTAAACTAATGAAAATGCACAGTAATAAACATAAGACTAATCACTCACCATGCACACAGAAAAACAAGGTACACAATACAAATAGCATTAATATATTTGGTCAGTCTATACACTGTCACTAGATTCTCATTACTAACAGCCCAAAACCAGCTGAATACAAATTGGACTCTGAGACTGGGGAATTCTAGTCTAACAAATCACTTGTAGACTCAAACCAGTGACCTAAGCCTCCTTAATACCCTACTATTAACTAAGGTGACCACTCACTAGTAATTATTAATTTAGTCCAAGACCATTTCTTCGATACTTTTAGAAAAAATTTGACATTATATAACCACATCGGTAGGACTTTTTTATACCATTTAAAAATACAAATTTATAAAAGACACTTGAATTTTACCTCTAAAAACTGCTTAACCTACTCCTGGAAGATTTCAAGGAGTTAAAATAAAGTTTTTAATATATATAAAATCATGGTAGAGATGCATTTAGAGGGCAAAACATTCTCTAAAATAGCTATTAATAAGGGAATCCCTATACTAAAAGAATTAGTAGGCAATTTAATGATAATAAAACTATACTCTTGTTATTTTGGAGGACTATTTGTAAAACCTGGTGGCGTAATGGTTAAGAGTGCAGCTGCTAACCAAAAGGTCAGCAGTTCGAATCCACCAGGCACTCCTTGGAAACCCTATGGGGCAGTTATACTCTGTCCTATAGAACCGCTATGAGTCAGAATCTACTCGACGGCAATGAGTTATTTGTTGAACACTTACTATGTGAATACTCAAGGTTCTCATCAAATCTTCAAAACAACCATGTGACGGAGGTACCATTATTATCCCCATTTTACCGATGGGAAAACTGACCTTTTCAAGATCACATGCTAGTAAGTTGCAGAGTCAGGGTTCCAACACAAACCTTGACTAATTTCAGAATTTAAAGGCTTAACCACTACACTGTATTGCCTCCAGTGAGTTTCAGTTGATAGCTAAGATAAAAAAAAAAAAAACAACAGGGAAATCTGTACTTCTTAGTGGCAAATTTTAAAAACATATTAGAAATAGAGGATACCTTTTAGAACACGAAAAAATTTCATATATATAGTCATACAAATATTATTTTGTTCCCAAGTACATATGATAATCATGAAAATCTCATACAATGGGTTTCTCACAATTTTTCCTAAGTACTCATTCACACTTATTAAAAATAATTTAGAACTACAATAGCCTAAATATGCCTAATTCAATTCAGTTGTGGAACAGGCATAAAACTAGATTCTTCTGGTATGAAAAGCTACACTTTATTTATTACAACCACAGTACTGAGCATGTACTGGGTACTTAATAAATAACTGATTTTTTTCAAAAAGGCTTGATGATGTGCAAGCAGTGCTATAAAACAGGAATTTTTTTTTTCATGGCTTAAAACAACACAAATTTATTGTCTTACTTTTTTGGAAGTCAGAAAAGTTCAAATAGGTGTCACTGGGCTAAAATCAAGGTGTCAGTAGGGCTGCATTCCTTTCTAGAGGTTGTAGGGGAAAATCTATTTTATTGCCCTTTCCTTGGCTACTGGCCTCCTTCTATCAGTGGCTGGTTGAGTCTTGCTCACATCACTCTGACGCTGACTCTTCTGACTTCCTTTTTCATCTTTTAAGAACTCTTGTGATTACACTGGGCCTAGATAATTAAGGATAATCTTCTTATTTTAAGGTTGTCTGATTAGCAATCTTAATCCACCTGCAACTTTAATTCCCTCTTAGATTGTGGCAAAATATATTCACAGGTTTCAAGGATTAGGTTTGGGGCATCTTTCAGGGGCCATTATTCTGCCTATACAGTTGGGGATCTTTTGAATCTAGAGATTAGTTTGGGGAGAATTGAGATTTTAACAATACTGAGTCTTCCAATCCATAAACATGGCATATCGCCATATTCACTTAGGTCTTTGATGTCTCCTAGTGATGTTTAACATAGAGGTCTTGTACATCATTTGCTTAGATTTATTCCTAAGCATCTGATGTTTTTTGATGCTACTGTAACTAGTATTATTTTTAAATTTCAATTTCCTATTGTTTACTGTTTATACAGAAATACAACTGAGTTTCGTAATTTCCTTTTTTTTTTCATTATACTTTAGATAAAGGTTTACAAAGCAAACTAGTTTCTCATTAAACCATTAATACACACACAGTTTTGTGACACTGGTTGCCAACCTGAAGACATGTCAACACTCTCTCCTTCTCCACCTTGGGTTCCTCATTACTAGCTTTCCTGTCCCCTCCTGCATTCTTGTCCTTGGCCCTGGGCTGGTGTGCCCATTTAGTCTTGTTTTGTTTTATGGTCCAGTCTAATCTTTGGCTGAAGGGTGAACTTCATGAATGACTTCAGTACTGAGCTATAAGGGTGTCCGGGGGCCATACTCTCGGGGTTTCTCCAGTCTCTGTCAGACCAGTAAATGTGTTTTGTTTTGTTTTTTTTGAGTTTGAATTCTGTCCTACCTTCTTCTCCAGCTGTGTCCGGGATCCTCTATTGTGATCCCTGTCAGAGCAGTCGGTGGTGGTAGCTGGGCACCACCTAGTTGTGCTGGACTCAGTCCGACGGAGGTTATGTCAGTTGTGGTCCATTAGTCCATTGGACTCATCTTTCCCTGTTTTTGGTTTTCCTCATTCTCCCTTGCTTCAGATGGGGTGAGACCAGTGGAGTATCTTAGATGGCCACTCACAAGCTTTTATGACCCCAGACGCTACTACCAAAGCATAATGTAGAACATTTTCTTTGTAAGGTGTTACGCCAATTGAGCTAGATGTTCTCCTAGACCATGGTCCCCACAGTCCTCAGCCCAGTAATTTGGTCCCTCAGGGTAAAATTGGAATTTTTAATAAAGCCATAATACCCTCCAGAAATACCTGCAATATACAGACATGACATAAGCTGGAATAAAATTATACAAAAAATTGAGCTCTGTATTGAATAATAAAAAAGGAATACAACATCCCTATACCATGGCTCGCATAAATAGGACTAATTTATTTTTCCACTTTAAATATCAAGAGATGTAGCCTTAAATCAAAAATGGATGGGTATTACAAAATCTTTCCCTAACTAGGTTTTTTTTTTTTTTAATGTTCTTTCTAAATCCTCTAAAAAAGCTTATCCAAAAAGACTTTCAATCGCCCAGTGACTGCCATCATATGAACCAAATCTTTTTTCCTGTGATACTCATCAAGTTTATTGGAATTCTAAGTGTCAATGAAAACTGATGTGAGGAGTCTATAAAACAAGTTTTGCCTACCATTACCATTTCGCATCTCAACATTTTGGTCTTATCAAGGTCCACCTTTATAAACACATACCTAAGTTCACTTATGAAAAGAACAAGTGGAAAGTACTGACATAAAAAAAATCACTTGTCCTATATATTCTGCAGCAGACTGTCAAAATTAATTTTTGAACAAGATATCGTATTAGCCACCAACCAAAAATGTTGAAAAGAAGCACTACTAATTTTGTTTTACTTCAATATTATACTCAAAGTCTCAACTACAAAGAATTACACTAATAGTAACACATGAGGAGTCTATGAAACAAGTTACAGAGATTGCTGGAGTATGGATCCTTAATCACAGCTGTAATTCACAGAACTGCTTTCCTAATTCTCTTTGACCACCTAAGTGATCCAGAGACTCTTCTGTATCACTATGTTTTCAGTACACAAAAACAGGGATTTGCAGTGCAACAAAAAACTAAAGCCTTCTGACCAATGCATTTTCAACTGATGTTAATCCAACACTCAAATGCTTGTATTCAAAGCTTCTGGGAACACATACACAGGTTGACATAGTCAATGACTGCCTTGGTAGCTGCAAACTCAGCTGAATCCTGGGACACCACCTCAATTTGGAAGGGGCAGGAACATATCCGGTTCTCAATGAATAGTTTTCCATACTTCCCATCCTAAAAACTTTACATCTTCCCAGAGGAGCAATAAATATACAAAGACGCCAGGGAGTATGCCTGTAAGGAAGATGAGTGATCAAATTAAATCCCCGCACATGGAGCCTGAAACTTCAGAACTTTTTCCAGAACAAATCACAGGTGAAAGAACACGGTACGTTTCCCCACTTTTACCCACTACTTCTTTCCTGGAGCCCGCTTCCCGGGTCCTTAAGGAGCAGTCTTGACTTACTGGTTAGTTGGAGGAGCGGTCAGCGGGATGGCCACCTCTTCTTCCTCATATTCTGGTCCATCCAGAGAATCACCTTCATCCACTGTCCCCAGGCCCGCGCCGAAAGTAGGCAGCTGAGGAGGGGGCGGCAGAGGGGGAAATCCGCCGCCTGGCCCTAGGGTCTCAGCAGGCAACGAAGTGGTCCCCTTGGTGAGAGCCATGTCCCCACCAGGGCCGGGGGCAGCAGCACCAGCCACACCAGCAGTAGCACCTCCCCCTGTCAGTCCGGCTCCCCCCAGTCCCCCCACCACAGACCCGGCTCCTAGGAGCCCTGGCGCGTATGAAGCTCCGCCACTCAGAGTCCCGACCACTCCAGCCTCGGTCAGCCCAGGATAGGGGGCGGCTGCCACAGGCAGGGCCGCAGGTATCTTCATTCGACACACAGCCGGATAAGCACTCGAGCCCGCCGCCGCGCCGCCTCCTCCTGCCCCGGCGGTCACCGGGCCGCCCTCCTCACTGCCGGCCTCGGCCGCCATCATGTTGAAGCCCGCTCTACTCCGCACTGCCCTGCCCGCCCGTCCGGGAGCCCCGGGGGCCACTAGGCCCGGGCTCCAAGTCGCCCCACCCAGGCGCGTTCCCCCTTCAGTTCCCCAGGCGGAGGAAACAAAAACAAAAGGGGAGAGCCCGCCGCCGCGCCCCCTCTTCGGGCCACAGCCCAGGCTCTGGAGCTGCCCGGATTACGGGAAGCGAAGTGGGCAAAAATCCTACGCCTGCACAAACGCTGCCCAAACCTTCACTTTACACGCACACACACATGCACAGAAGCGAAAAACTTCCTGGCTGCACTAAAGAGGAAGGGAAGCACGGGGGAAGCGGCTGGGGCGGCTGCCACTCCTTCAGCCACTGCCTCTTCACCGCCCGAGTTCTCGCCACCCCCACCACAGCCACCGCCGGTGCTGCGGCTGGGGCTGGGGCCACTGTAGTCGCTTCATCCTCCACCGGGCTGGAGATTGGAGGGGTGGGGAAAGGATGAAGAAGGGGGCGGGGCCCTGGGGAAATCGACTGAACTGTTCACAACCTGGAGCTCAGTGAAACCCGAGGAGAGAGAAAGGAAGGCGGGACAGGGGAGGAGGAACGGAGGGAAGGAAGGGCGGAGAAGGAGGGAGAGGGTAGTTTCTGCGCAGGCGCGTTCCCGCGCCGGGGGCGGGGGGGGGGTTGGGCCAGGCCTGGAAGGAGGAAAAGGAAGAGTCGGGAGGGAAGGAAGCGGCGGGGACGCGCGGCGCGTGGCCTCGCTCGTAGTCGCGCTCCGGTTCTGAGCGCTTGGCGGCGCGGCCGGTTTTTGGGTGTCGCCGGCGGCGCGCGCCTGCCTCGTGGGGCTTTGTTTGATGGGTGTGTGGCCTGCGTGCGGGGTCTCGTGCCTACCAGAGCGGCGGCGCTAAGCCTGGCCCGTGGCGGCGCTCGGGGGTCGCGGGAGATGGGGCGGAGGAGGCGAGGCGAGTACCTGAGCATGCGGCTCCTGAGCGCGTTGAAAACGGAGAGATGAGAGGGACGAGGAGGCAGTGGAGGGGAAGGAAGGAGAAAGGGAACGTACGATGCCAAGGAGCCAGTTCATTACTTCCAGACTCGTAGATAAAACTGCCTTAACCGGAGGCCCAGATACCAGACGGCCATGGGGGTGGGGGTGAGGGGCTCCTGATGCTGCTAACAAGGCCCAGGCTGTACCGTTAATGTTTTTTTCATTTTTGTTGCATGATAATAAATCACCGTATGACTCTTAAACAAACTTAAAAAAAAAAAAAGATTCCATTCTGCTACCCAAAAGAAAAAAACGAAGTAAATACAGAGAACCATGTGGGGAGAGCGGGAACTTTGGTGGAAATAAATGTGGTTGTGAAGTCAGATTTCTACCACTATGTGTTTTTTGTTTTGTTTTTTAACACAGACACATTGACCTGTGCCATTCCAAGTCTCCTGAGTACTAAGGAAGGGGTGTGGGAAGGAGGAGCCACAGCCAACACTAAACACGCTTTTTCTCCCCGCACTTGTGCAGAAAACTGCAGGGCGTGGTGCATATGTGAATTGACAGAGCACCTTCAACACGACAAATGCCAAGGAGATCCTAGAGTGTAAGATACATGTAATTTCAAAAGTTATCAATTAGCAAATCCTGCCCTTAATATGGCCAAAGAGAGAGGATTTGTTTTGCCGTTTGTACTAGAATATACATAAGTTGTATGCATTCACATATGTGATGAACTCATTTCCATTGTTTGAGATTACACTATTGGTGTACTGGGTTGGATATTGTTGTTGTTAGGTGCTGTCAAGTCAATTCTGACTCAGCCACCCTATGTACAACAGAATTGC